TAGCGTCTGCTGTACTTTCTGGGAACCGGAACTTCGAGGGTCGTGTGCATGCCTTAACAAGAGCCAACTATCTTGCTTCACCTCCTTTAGTGGTTGCTTATGCCCTTGCTGGCACGGTACATAATTACCTAATTATTTACTGGTGATGTGTATATTTGTTAAATGTTTACCGAGATATATTTATCTTTTTATATAATCCATATAATTTGATATCTACTTAGAACTTTGGAGAGTTTAACGATGGTTATCATCTAAGTTAAATAATTCTTGTGCATGTGGATTTAATCTTCTTTGAAAAAAATATATCAGGTGTTTTTCAATAAGTTTTATTCGATTTGTCTTGTCATGGAGTCAGACAGATCAATTTATTTCATTTTTTTGATATTAGACTAATATCTTTCGTGGTGTCGTTTTTTATGATCAACTATGGCGACTTTCTAGGTTGATATTGATTTCGATAAGGAGCCAATTGGAACTGGGAAGGATGGTAGGAGTGTCTATTTTAAGGATATCTGGCCATCTAATGAAGAAATTGCAGAGGTAGACATCCTAAAATTTGCGTAAAAGTATCAAATTCATGTATTTAAGCACGAAACTAATAAGCTTGAACTTCTCTGCTATTTTAGGCTGTTCACTCCAGTGTCTTGCCAGATATGTTCAAAAGTACTTATGAGGCAATTACAAAAGGAAATCCCATGTGGAATCAACTATCCGTGCCTTCTTCCACCATGTACTCATGGGATCCTAACTCAACCTACATTCACGAGCCTCCATACTTCAAGAACATGACCATGGAGCCTCCTGGAGCCAATGGCGTGAAGGATGCCTACTGCTTACTGAACTTTGGTGACAGTATCACAACAGACCACATTTCTCCTGCAGGAAGCATCCATAAGGACAGTCCTACTGCAAAATACCTACTTGACCGTGGGGTAGAGCGCAAGGACTTCAATTCTTACGGAAGTCGTCGTGGTAACGATGAAGTGATGGCTCGGGGAACTTTTGCTAACATTCGCCTTGTTAACAAGCTGTTGAATGGGGAAGTTGGTCCGAGAACCATACACGTTCCAACTGGAGAGAAACTCTATATATTTGAAGCAGCAATGGTGAGTTCTTTAATGTTAAATTACAATTTCATATAAAACTAATTTATTAGCTTTCTACAATGACATATCTTGATTTCATCGCACTACTTTCATTACCGAGTTTTTGTTTTCAATAAATTTCAATTTTACAATCAAATTATTGGTTTTGATTTATATGAAATACGATTTAATCAGATTATTTTGCAGTCACATTATGCAATAGTAAGCTTAACAATCAATCTGTAATTTCAGAGGTACAAGGATGCTGGATATGACACCATTGTTTTAGCTGGAGCTGAGTATGGAAGTGGTAGCTCCCGGGATTGGGCTGCGAAAGGTCCAATGCTATTGGTAAGTCTTGATTTGACCACAGTAAAGAAATTCATATTGGTTCAGGATTTAAAAAAAAATGAGCAGCTTGAGCTCCAGTTGATTAGATTTGATTAAACTCATTTATCTAGTACAAAAATTAGCTTCATTGCTCGAGCTGCTCAAGCTTGACTCAGCAATGAACAAGATGATTTGGATTTTTTTATTCTCATTCGAGTAGCTTGCTGCATGGTTGCTGTTTTGTGCACCTGAGTAACTTCGTTGCATATCAGGGAGTAAAAGCAGTAATTGCCAAAAGTTTTGAGAGAATCCATCGAAGTAATTTGGTAGGAATGGGCATCATTCCACTTTGTTTCAAGTCTGGTGAGGACGCAGACACACTAGGCTTAACTGGTCATGAGCGTTACACCATAGATCTCCCAAGCAATATAACTGATATAAGACCCGGCCAAGATGTCACTGTCACGACAGACAATGGGAAGTCTTTCACCTGCACTGTCCGCTTCGACACTGAGGTACCAAATGGCTTCAAATATTCTTTTTTACGTGCAAAATAGTGCCGCATGCATTGTGGTTTATCATCTGCTATCATGTGATCGTCATTCATGGTTGTTGATTGTAACGAAGAAAAGTACAACCTTGCATGAAACATGGAACTCACCTGACAAGGTCATTTACAGAGTTACATCACCGTTCTCATCTGAATATGCATCAAACATGGATTAATATTTGTGCCCGCAACTTGATTCAACTCTTATCTTACATTTTACGAATTTTAGAGCATGAAGCCCACAATACCAGAACTGACTGTGCTTAAAATTGCAGGTTGAATTGGTTTACTTCAACAATGGGGGCATACTTCCATATGTTATCAGAAACTTGATTAAGCAATAGATGCATTTTTGAAGCCACGAACCAATTTCAACATTTCCGACTATAGTAAACTCTGTGATGCAAATAAAGCTATCAATGTCTGATCGATACTCCCCCGTTAACGGGACCTCGTATTAGTTTTTTCTTTCTTCGAATTGTTTTTGCAGACGGGCATTGTCTGTTGATGGACCAAACATTTTTCGAGTAAATTATTTTCGTTTGCCTAGTTAGGGTTTACTGCATGTTTTAATTAAAAAAAATGAAAATGCCCCGATGAAATTGAAAAATTTAATTTAAACCTCCAAATTTTAAATAAATTTCCCCAAAGTATGTTATCAAAATTCGCCGCTCTACATATCAATCCACCGGCTGAAGCAGCGCCTTAATATGATTTAACTGCCCCATGTATGTAATAAAAATATTAAAGAAATGAAAAACATCACTATAATAATATATATTATACTTCAAAATAAAATTAGCTTGGTAATTTTTAATTAAATCGATATCGAATTTTAACATAATATTTAATAATACTATAAATACTGTTGTTGGGGAAAAAAATAAAAACATGGCTAGTTAAAGTTTGAATTGGAAAAACAATACGAAATTTGGTTGCGAAGGCTCAAGAAGCTAGGATGTAAAATAAAAAATAAATAGTAATTTTTAAATCTTGAAGTTACAAATCCTTCTCCCCCGAAATTTTCTGGTTCAAATTTAAAATGAAGGATTGAGAATACAAATCTTTGTAATTGTGTAAAATAATATTTTATTATTATTATAACAAATAATAAGCCCGGAGAATATGGCTTACTCGTGCAAGGTGAGTTTTATTCCCGTTGTTTTTCTTTTATTATTATTATCTAATTTTATTTACTTTAGTTGCTGCGGACTTCTTGTTAAATCGTATTACACGATCTGAACTAGGAAACCTGTTTTATGGGGAGAAATAAAAACTATGGAACCTGGTTGGGACGATGGAAAAGAGTAAATTTGTAAGAAAGAATAGGGCAAAAGTGGTTGAATAATGCAATGGAAAAAAATTCTTCTCTAGTGCAGTCGAACAATTATTTGTTTAAATAGGATGATTGTTACAGTGAACTTCATATGTCTCAAGGAGCATACAGCGGCCTCCATTAGTCTCCAGGAGCACACGACGACCTACCTAACGTGCATGGGCTTTGTCGCAACAACGAGGGAAGAGAGAAAAATTGCTGCAACAGAGGAGGCTTTGTTGCAAGGAGCACTTGGCTACCTATAGAGCACGTGGCGGCCAATGAGGTCATTGTAACAAACATCCCAGTTCAAGAAATAATTTGGTTAGAGTCCTATATAGAGAAATTTTTTCCCCAACACCCTACATGGGCGAGGGAGCCGAAAGAATAGACATTATGCTCTGATTGACATGCCTAAAAATCTTTTGTTATTTGATTGATGGAAACATGTTGATTTCATTTTTTTTAATATTATGGTGTTCAACGTTCATCTATTGTTGGAATTGTAGGAACAAATTGAAACAACAAATCGGAAGGAGAAAGAAGCAACGTGCTGGGGATGCGGATTGCGGATCCACCTTCCGACAAACGGAGCAGTTGTCAAGTGCGGTTGGTGTGGAGGCATTACAAATCATAACCCAGCTAAACCTGAAACTCAATATCTTCGTTGGAGGCGCTTTGCGTGATCGTTGCTTCATCTCTCTTCTTTCCACTTTTATCCTCTTTGTAATATTTAAGTTCCCCAAATTTTCAATTTTTTATTTTATGTTTATAATCTTAAATATACTAACAATGAAGTGCAGGTGCCAGCATCCGGGCTGCGTTTCCCGTTATTTTCTCAGTTTGCTACACCACCGGGATTGTTCATTCAATCATAACGGTGATCTTGGCTGTGGCCACTGTTTCCACCTACTGCTTAGCGGCATTCAGGTGCGCTTGCAATGATAGCATGGGGTAGCTATGCGGTCGTGGGGAAATGTGAGCTTGAAAACTATACCTTCTACCGTCATTGTTGCCAGCCCAAATCACCAAGAGCTCATCACTGTCGTTCGTGTGGGTTTTGTATATTAGATATGGATCATCACTGTCCTTTTGTAAGTATTAATATTAAGCTTATTCATGTGTTAAAATACTTTGGTCCTTTCGTGTTAATAATAAAATATTTGGTCTGTGATGTGAGACAGACAGGGAATTGTGTTGGCGCAGCGAATCATCGGCATTTCATCGATTTCCTATTTTCAGCCATTTTGAGTACAATCTATGTTTCAGTGATCTCTGCATATACGAGTTTCCATATCTGGCCGTCATTGGAGTCCAAAACTCTCGAGCACTTGTCATTATTGACCACCAGCCTGCCGATGGTTGCAATAAAAGAAGTAATTCCGGCTTTAATAAGCTCCGCCATGGAGTCCTCTCCTAGAGGATTCGTTCTCGTTTATCTATTTTTTACCAGCATTTCGGTGGAGATAAGTTTACTCCTCCTAGGGCAGCAACTATGTTACATCTACAAGGGCCAACTTACCTCAGCCATTTGAGTTCTCAGGAAGGCAATCCGGTCACACAAAGAGATTCCCAGAACCTTGTATGGTTCTTCAGTTGTCGATATTCTATTTTGAGATTGTTGCCAAGTCTGCGGAATCCGCGAAAGAGGCACAAGAAGTGAACAAATTTGTTGTATTGAGATGAGAGATGTGAGGAAATTTTACAATTTTGGTTGCTAATGATAAATTGTATCATTAATGAACAATACAATTAGCGTGTTTACCTATGTTAATAGATCTGTACAATTTCAATCTACAACAATGGAGATGCTGAATTTTGATCAAAATTGGACAACCCCTTTTTCACCAACATATCATAGACTTTATCCACCTTGCTTGCTTCAACTTTAAGCAGGTTGCGAGCATCAGATTTCTTGCTAATATTTCCCTTCATAATCTCAATTGATAAGGTTTGCAACATTGAGAGAGAATGTGCAGGCAGTATTCTGATCTCACTGCATAGCTGTTTCTCCTGCACAAAACAGCATTATGAGAGACCGATATCTGAAATGATATTCGAGGTGGTAATAGTCACAAATAGTTTCGATTAAGCTTTATGCTACTTCAGGTTTCACATGTATCCATAAAGTTTCTACAGTTTTTTTAATTAAACTTGACAGAGTTGTGAACGATAACCATATGTCTATGCAATGTAGAAGAATAAGGTAGGGAATGTATCCTTACACTATCAACCAACATGTAGTTATTGATGATGCCAGGGAATCAAAAGATGGGCACATTACCTGAGTGTTATCTTTAACACTCATCATCAGAACAGACTGGTCCAGTGTTAAATTCCTCGTCCTCATTCTTTACTGTCTGTTAAAGAAAAAAAACATAAATAACAGCAAATATACATGTTTAACAGGTAAAAGAACAACAAAAAAATACGATATACAATTAACTTACATCTTCCTCCATTGGTCGACTGCAAAAAGTAGGAAGTAAAACAAAGAGATGGTTAGTATATCAAGCATTAAAAGAAGCATAATACAAAGAAAAGGGGTTTAAACAACTAGCACCTCGTTTTCTACTACAGGAGTGTTTTGCACTACCTCCCAGTGAAACCAGAAGTAAAATCTGCAAAAACTCAAGTGAAAATCATTGGATCGCATAAAACTCAAAGAAACTCTAAGTGCACTTGAAAGCAGAAACATCAAGGAGAACCAGAATAAATTGGACACTTGCATACCAAATGAATATCAAACTCATTGAACCAGTTACATAAATACCACAAAGCATAACCATACAAGCACCACGAAAATGGCTGAAATGAAATTGCTTTTACCACAAATGAAACAAAAACGATATATTTTTTGTGAACAAACCAAGCAAAAACCACTGAATAACACAACTATTCTAGAGATATCGGGAAAATCTTCTGAAACTCTTCAGTTCAGGTCTCCATAATTTCAGCATACATTAGCCCAGGAGAACGAAAGTTTCTTAATAACATCTCAGAGACGCAGAAGCCTTCAATTCCTAATTCGAAAACTCTCTGTAAAATGCTAAATATAATATTTTTACACTTATACAAAGTCAGGTTCTCCAGAAATTTTCCGCACAAACTTTCTCGGAAGAACGAAAGTTTCCAGTTTCAATCATCCTCAGAGGCGAAGATGAAAAAAAAGGAAAATAACAAAAAATATTAAACATCCTAAAAACTACAATTTCTCTTCATCTGAGGACTCCATATATGTTTCCCCACCGATTTTTTTTTTATTTTCTCAGAGAACGTTTTCGTTATCAACTTCAAACCGGATACACTTAAAAATCTGAAAAATTTAATAAATGAGAATACCTAAATCGGGAAAACTATGAACAATTAAGCGAAAGAGGCGTAAAGTAGATTTACCTGACTCGCTATCCACCGATTAGAGCTGGTTTGGGGAGAAATGTAGAAATATAGATTTACCTAAATCGGATACACACATTTTTAACAGAATAAATATTTTTTTACTTATAAATAACTTTTTAAAATATAAAAATGATGCCATAAATATTTGAAGTTTATAATATAATTTCTCTAAGAAAAATGAGAGCTCTCTAAGAACTATCATTCTCCTTGAATCCCCTCTTCTTCCACGCCTAAACATTATTCGTTTAAGTCAAAAAAGGACCAACACCAAATCATTTATAAAACTTCCGTTTTCACCACAATCTTCAAAAACCATCATATAATAATTTCATTTTTTTAATTTCTTTTAAAAAATTAGCCATATATGATTTTCCTACTAACTAGTAAATGCATTCACTTGATATATATGTACATATCAGGAAAATCTTTTATTAACTGTACTTTTGTAGTACTCAAAATTATAAGTTGCATGCGATCCCATCATGAACAAGTTCTGGAAACTCAACTATCCGATCTCAAATTCATGCAGGAGTATCGACCGTGACATGTTTTGCGATGATATCCCGGCCGGACAGTACGACAGGCCTACTTATTTTTCTCCTACAAGGGCCAGCAGAAAACCTCTGTAATGTCCCGATGTATCCGAATGAATCGCATTCTTTAGAGTCTTGCCATATTTTTTAAGATACTCCTCCTTTATGTACTTCATGTCGACCTCAGCTCTCGTTACCACAATCCTTATTAGTGCAGGGTCATCTGTTCCCAGACCTTTCATCGCCTTCCGCAACGCCTGTCGTTACATTATAAAATTTGAATTGAATCGAATGAAAATAGTTATAATCTTTAAGCCTCACCTTTGCGTAGAACCTTGGTGTATTTTCAGCACATCTTAGTATTGTTTTAAGGCCATATTCAAAGTGCTTGTGGGTTTCGTCTTTTATTTCCTTCTCCAATGTTTTCTCGTACATGGTTTTGTAGGCGTCACTAACAGCACAAAGGTGTGCCCTGCTTCTTTCACTGAAAACCTGTATGAACGTCTTGGCCGTCAGACTAGAGTCCTCCAATGCGTAGTGCAGCGCTTTCGCGTCTTTCTCGACCTCCACTTCGTCGTACTCGGGGCCTTCGTAGCGCGACGTCGTTAAAAGCGCAACCATTAACTGTAAAAATCCGAGTTCAATAAAGCATGATAATGGTCTCATATAACACAAGTAGCTGGTAAAGGGGAAAAAAACAGAGACCTTTTTATGGTCACCGGATAACACTTCTTCAACGTCGTCTTCGAGATTATTTCCGACGTTCGTGTGGTAAGCTCGCTTAAGTTTTCTGATTTGCGACGGAGTTCGAGAACATATGATTTCAGTCACTGCTCTTTCATCTTTCAAAGTTTCCTTCAAAAGGAAAGACTCTCGTTCCCCTGGTTCGTGCATCCACAGCAATACTGCTTTCTAAGATCATAATATAAATATCAGTCCCCGTTTTCTATTTGTACAGATTGAATCATGAAATGGTTTTCTATTTTTAGCATTGAACAGTGTTAATTACCTTGAGATGGCCGCCAAGCTCCGATGATAAGCGTTTCCGAAGTTCTTCGCCGTATGCGGATTCGTATTCTTGTTCGATGAGGGATCGTTGTTCGGCATCTCTGTGAGCTAGAATTTCGACGATTGCTCCGGAATCACATCCTAGTCCTGAAAATGTAACAGGCAACAATATGGCGACGAGCGAAAGAATTTAACTTAGAGACGAAATTATGTTAGATAACTTATAAAATTTTAAGTGAATTTATAAAAATTTAAAATTTTCGAGAGAACGACTATTTTATTTGCTCCTTCGACCCATTATTGGTTTAAACAGTGATCGTGATGATCACTGATGTTGTTATTTTCATACTTCCCCGGTGTTCAATCCAGTTAAAGGATAAGTTTGTTACATGCAATAACGAGAATTGAATAGATAATTAAGCCGAGATTAAGTGCAAAATGTGAGACTTTTGACATTAATTTCCATCATTTCCAGCTTTTTCCATAAAAGAAAAGACTGAAGAAGAATAGCATGGTATCTGTCACCTTTGAAGGCATCGAAAATTTGCTTGGCATCGTCACGGTGGGAAGGTTTCGCGGCAGGTACTGTCACAGTCGACATTTCTCGTCGTCTGTTTCTCTCTTTTTCAGGTTTTGAGGAAATTACCAAGAAAAGAAAGGAAAGTTGAAGGTGAAGGTGAAGGTGAAGGTGCAATAAAAAGAACCTAAACAAAGGTTCCTTATCCCATGCATTTAGGATTACCACCAATTTACAACGGCCCCGACTCTCAACCTTTTCTATTTCTAATTATTTCAAAATTTTAAAGCTAAATATAAATTAATTAAATTTATAAATAAATCCTCAAGAAAGGATTACAAATAACAAGGAAACATATAATAACAAGGCTCAAATTTTTCATTCAACCAGTCATATTTACTGTGGAGACACAAATGAACTAAATTTGAATGAATAAAATTATATTTATTCAAAAATTTAATATTAAAATCGTTTATTTATTTTTAAAATTGTTTATATAGCTAATTTAGTTGCTTAATCTCATCTTTATAGGATAGAGTATCGAATTTCACCCGTAACCGCTTTATGCTCCATTGCACAGACCGTGGACAAACATCGGCAAGCTGGTAGTGTATGTTTTTCATGTCTGCAATCACTCATTTGTCGCCATTAACTGGAACCTTATCATTGATCACCAGATTAATCACTTCGTTCTCATTAGCTCGTTCCTTCTCCCATGACTCGCTTTTTTACAGCAAGCTCTTGTCTTCCCCCAATGACATGGCTTCCATATCTCTTCTCTTTGATCAAACCGATCGACCCTCCGTTCATCAATGGGACATCATCATCAGAGACATTTCTTCAAGTTGCCACCCGGAGAAGTCCCTCCTCTCCTACATTATAATGCGTAGAAACGGCGTAATTCCCAGTATGCACACATTTCCTTCCCTTCTCAAATCCTTTTCCAACTCCAAACAAAACCCATTTCAGCTTTTGTCTCACATTTTTTAAGTTTGGAATGGATTCAGACCCTTTCGTGAGAAATTCATTGATTTCCGCGCTTTTTAGCTCCCTTGACGTGGAGCTCGCTCGTCAAGTGTTCGATGAAAGTACGCAAACGGATGTGGTTTCTTGGACTGCTTTAATTAATGGGTATCTGAAAAGTGGTTATCTTGTTGAAGGCTTGGAATGCTTCAATGAAATGAGGTTAAAGCGTGTCGAAGTTTGTGGAATGAGTGTCGTTGGTGTCCTCGGCGCTGCAGGGAAAATGGGTAATTTTTGGTTTGGACAGAGCATTCATGGATTTTACATAGAAACAGGGAGGATTGAATGGGATATTTTCGTTGGTAGTGCCGTTGTTGATATGTATTCAAAATGTGGCTTCCATGATGATGCTCGAAAGTATTTTAATCAAATGCCAATTAGAAATGTGGTTTCATGGACTGCTTTGGTAGCTGGCCATTTGCAAGGTAATAGATATAAAGAAGCAATTATCCTCTTTCAAGACATGCTAATGGAGAAGGTTAGGCCAAGTGAATTTACATTTACTAGTGTTCTTACTGCTTGTGCTGAAATAGGCGGCTTGATCCATGGAAGGTGGGTTCATGGGCATATAATTAGATTCAAATCGGATACGAATTCGGCCGTTGGGACGGCATTGATAAACATGTATGCAAAGTGTGGGTGCTTGAAGGAGGCTTTCATGGTTTTCAAGAAGCTTAGTGGAAAAGACGTTTATGCTTGGACTGCCATGATTAATGGATTTGCTATGTATGGTGATGCAATGAGCTCCTTAAATCTGTTCAACGAGATGCTAAGAAGTGGTGTCCGTCCGAATGAAGTAACTTTCCTCGGTGTTCTTAGTGCATGCTCCCATGGAGGTCTTGTTGACAAGGGACGCGAAATCTTTGCAACGATGAAGCAAAGGTATTGCTTAGAACCTGGTTTAGATCATTACAGCTGCATGGTTGACATGCTTGGTCGAGCTGGTCTATTGGAAGAAGCAAGGGAGATGATCGAAGATATGCCGATAGAGCCTACAGCCAAAGTATGGGCACCTTTGTTGGGGGCTTGTATGATTCACAAGGCATATGATCTAGGTGAATATGTAGGGAAGCATTTGATAAAACTGCAACCAGAACGTGGCAGTAGATATGCACTTTTGGCAACCTTGTATTCAAGTCACCAAAAATGGGATTCAGCAGCTGAAATAAGAAAGATTATGAAAGAGAGAGGCGTTAAAAAGACACCAGGATGCAGCTGGATAGAAATCACTGGTGCAATTCATGAGTTTACTTCTTTTGATTATTCTCAGCCTGAATACTATCGTTTGAATGAGATGATTGAGAGTTTAATGGTTGAAATGAGACTTGATTGTAGCTTATTTGCATCTGATGTGGATATGGAGTGAGGTTATTTTCCGCAATGTGTGCTTTGTTTGCTGCTGAATTAAAACACTAGGCCTCAGTTCATTGCCTCTAGTTCAAATTTCACAAAACTAAGCACTTTAAATGGTTTTAAAACTAAAAAAAAGAGGGTCTAATCAAGCTGCTCAGGAAAAGAGAATAATATATCAGAATTAAGTTTACTGTGACAAATTTATGTTAATGTTGGACACATGCATGCCTTAAATGAGTAAGGTGGAAATCTTAATTTGAAGGGCCTCAACTGCTCAGGAAAAGGAATGGAAAGGCATGTGCTGGCAACCACATCAATGATGTTTTTCTTCGGTTAAACGATTTATTTGATATAGGTTGAAATTAAAGATTTAATTTGTGCGTTTTGAAGTACGAGGGTCGTTAACGATGATTGATCAATTTATTATTTAATCAATAATGTTAGTGATTAAATTATTACTTTTGAAACACCAGTGGAAGAGAGAGGAATTTATTCAAACATCAGTGATCAGTGACTATTCATGTAGTTTACCCAAAAAATATTCGCACAAGTAGCCAAATCAGCACACTTTCCTTCTTTCTGTGCAAACCCAAATACAGCTCAGCCCATCAAAGTATATAAACTTAGAAAGGAAGCAAAAACCCTTTGGCCAAATATCAGCGGCAGCCTCCGCAGTAGGGTTTTTACTCTTCACTTCTTTCTCTTCAATTTCGATAGCAACAACTCCAACTCACGCGAGTTAACCATGGCGCAATCCCTAGAATTGTTGTTGATTCAATTCCTAATGCCAGACAACGATGCAAGGAGGCAGGCGGAGGATCAAATTAAGAGGTTTGCGAAGGATCCGCAAGTCGTCCCGGCTCTCGTTCAGCACCTTCGCACTGCAAAGACTCCCAACGTCCGTCAGCTCGCCGCGGTACTCTTAAGGAAGAAGATCACTGGACACTGGGCTAAGCTTGCTCCTCAGGTTAAGCAACTTGTCAAGCAGTCCCTTATCGAAAGTATCACAATGGAGCATAGGTTCATTATTGAATTTCATTTTTATTCCTCTTCTTTTACTGTTTTGATCTTATATTGGAATTCAATTCGGTTTGATTTTGGATGGTTTGATTGTTTTGGCAGTCCACCTGTGAGGCGAGCCAGCGCGAATGTCGTTAGTATTGTTGCGAAATATGCAGTTCCAGCTGGAGAGTGGCCTGATCTGCTGCCATTTTTGTTCCAGTGTAGTCAGAGTCAGCAAGAAGATCATCGGGAAGTAAGTTATTGAGTTTTGTTTAAGGGGACGTTGAACCTATTGCATTACTAACTGATTACCCATTAAATAGGACAATCCATGAATTTGGGAGGCCCTTCTTTCAAAGTCCAATTTTTCGAAATGCGATCTTAGTAAGTAAATAATATTAAATACAGACTATAATAAAATATATTATTTGCCTATTGTGCTTCATTGTAGAAAAAAAGTCGAAATGTACATTTTATGGTTTATGCAAAGTAAATGGAAATATCAATTTGCTAATGCATGTAATCTTAAGCTGAATCTTAAATTGAACAACACTGATTTATTGGTGCAGTGAAAATAAGAGAGCTTCCTGTGTATGATCTTAATCTAGTTTATAATTTAGTACATTTTAACTTCCCTGAATAGACACCTGCACTCACGTGCTGTTGTATTAAATCATGTCTTCCTGTTTGTGTCATTTTGGCCTGATATTGGAATAGTGATAATCTTTTGTATAAATGGCGGATCTCATTTCTCTTGTGTCCTCCAGTGTATTCTATTTCCGTTTCATGGACTGACAGATGAATCTATCTGCTTCTGGTGATATCAGGTGGCATTGATCCTTTTCAGTTCGTTGACTGAAACAATTGGGAGCACTTTTAGACCTCATTTTGCAGAGCTGCAAGCACTTTTGCTCAAGTGCCTGCAGGATGAGACGAGCAATCTTGTCAGAGTTGCTGCTCTAAAGTAATATTTTTTCCTTCTCGATGTTTTTTGCTTATCTTGTTGGTTGTTAGGAAATAACTTTTGGGGGTTTCTTTACAAGAGTTGCACATATTTTCTTTTCTGCAGGGCAGTGGGGTCATTTCTCGAATTCACAAATGATGGGGCTGAAGTGGTGAGTTTCAATACTTTTACTCAACTATAAGTTGTGTCCATTTTATACTGTTTTATAGTTTAACATCTGCTTATTGTTTGATTGTGCAGTCTGTTTGAAGTGTTTGTCCCTTAAAGATGTTTTTTTTCCACTACTAGGTGGAGTTATTGAGCATGTGTTACTTTGGTTTTCCAAATAGAAATAGGGTTGGAAAATGACTAATATGTTTTTATCCAGATAGGATATTAAGTAGTTTTAATCTTCTGTGGTAATTAAGTTTCTAAAATATCATTCTGCAAAATTTGAATCATATACTTTAGATAAGAGATTCAATTGAAGAAGGATTACATTTCTTAAACTGATCATAAAGGACCAGATTTGATAGAAGTCACCAATGAAGTGAAAACGAAAGATAAATTGAGTGTGGATGATTCTTGTACTTTGTTTGGATGATTTTGTAATACACAGGAAGAAACCAGGACGTTGAATATCCTTTGGACTGGGAGGATCTGAAAACATAATATGTGCATGGACCCTAACATGTTATAAAATTAAAACTGAAGCCAACTGCTTTGTTTAAATGTTATTGATGAAAATTTAAGTAAATTAATGTAGGTCATATATGCTTGTAACTTCATACAACTGATTTCTGATTAAAGCTTACTGGTTGGGTGTAGTCGAGTGCTATTGCCCAATGTGTTTCCTATCCCTGTAGCAAAAAACTAACCTTTTTGTATAGACAATATAAGGTGTGTTTGGTGGTGGGGTCCGTTTTAACTGGTTACCATTTGCATAATTGTCTTCCAGTAGTCTAATTCTAAGGCATACATTGTTCCTTGGCATTTTTTATTTTCTGATGTGTTAACAGTTTTTATACATGTTCTAATAAATACCGAACAAGGTCAAGCAATTAGAATTACATTTGTGGATAATTATTGTACCATGCAATGTAAGTATTTTGATGCCGTTTTTTTTGGTTTCATGCTCTGGGTCTTTACATTTTTTGTTTGTTTTGTCAGGCTATTCAAATAATTTCATGGCTGGCTAAGTTCAAAGCTAATTCTCTAAAAAAGCAGAAACTTGTTACATCTATTCTGCAAGTAATGTGCCCTTTGCTAGCAGAATCATCCAATGATGAAGAAGATGATGATCTTGCTCCTGATCGAGCTGCTGCAGAAGTTATTGACACAATGGCCTTGAATCTCTCTAAACATGTCTTCCCTCTTGTGTTTGAGTTTGCTTCTGTAAGCATCCAGAATGCAAACCCAAAATTTAGGGAGGCTTCTGTCACAGCTTTTGGTGTTGTTTCAGAGGGTTGTGCAGAGCAGATGAAGGATAAGTTGGAGCCTGTTCTTCAGATTGTTTTAGGGGCATTGAGGGATCCTGAGCAAATGGTTAGAGGGGCTGCTTCTTTTGCATTGGGCCAATTTGCGGAACATTTGCAGCCAGAAATTATATCTCATTATGCCAGCGTTCTTCCCTGCATTCTCAATGCTTTGGAGGATGTCTCTGATGAAGTGAAGGTACATAAAAAGAAAGGTTTAAATTTTTGGTATAGATCAGTTTAGTTAATTTTATTTGCATCCTTCCATATTACTGTTCGTAATTTATATTTAAGATTTTTTGTAATATTTATAAACACTACATGATTCTCTATGCAGGAAAAGTCATATTATGCTTTGGCAGCTTTTTGTGAAGATATGGGCATGGAAATCCTACCTTTTCTTGATCCTTTAATGGGAAAGCTAATGGCTGCCCTCCAAAATAGTTCACGAAATTTGCAAGAAACATGCATGGTAAGCAAATGTATTCTGCTATTTCTTTGAACTGACAAAGAAAGAAAAGTTTGCACAAACAAGTCCAGATAAGTTCACAGGTCAAATGAAGACATGATGATATGGGACAATGTTACTTACATAATTCAACTCTTTAAAGTTCGAATAGCTTGTATGATATAATTGTAGAATTTTATTCTGTAACATATATTTATTTGTTGATATTTGGTGCAGTCTGCAATTGGTTCCGTTGCAGCTGCTGCAGAGCAAGCTTTCATTCCATATGCTGAAAAGGTTCTGGAGCTGATGAAAGTATTCATGGTTCTTACCAATGATGAGGACTTGCGTGCCAGAGCAAGAGCTACTGAGCTTGTCGGAATTATTGCAATGTCAGTTGGAAGAACAAGGATAGAGCCAATATTACCTGCTTTTGTAGAAGCTGCTATATCTGTAATTACAGTCATTTTCTTCTAAGCATCTTAAAATGAATATGATATCCTTGATGTGTTGAATATGTTTTCTATCACCTCAGGGATTTGGATTAGAATTCAGTGAACTGCGTGAGTACACTCATGGGTTCTTCAGCAATGTTGCTGAAATTATGGATGATGGCTTTGTAAAGGTGTGCATTGGTTTCAATTAACTTCTGTTGTCCTTTGCTGGGCATCTATATTCATGTTAGTTTTATTTTGTGAGCAGTATCTTCCTCATGTGGTTCCCCTGGCATTTTCATCCTGCAATCTTGATGATGGGTCTGCAGTAGACATTGATGAATCTGATGATGAGAATATTAATGGTTTTCGTGATGTCTCATCGGATGATGAAGCTCATGATGAACCAAGGGTTAGAAATATCAGTATACGAACAGGTGTATTGGATGAAAAGGCAGCTGCAACTCAAGCTCTTGGCTTATTTGCCCAGCATACAAAAAGCTCTTTTGCTCCGTATCCTTGTATAATTTTGTTTATTTATTTATTTGATTGACTATATTTTTTTCTGATATTATAGATTCTTTTTATCTGATAATAGTCTCGTTTTAGTCTTTTATCACGATTTACTTTTTATCAGGAAAAGAATCATATTAAAAGTTTGGCTTTGAAATTTTGAACCATGCAACATTTTAAGAGTGATTTAGAACCGAAATATCTTTTAGATTTTTTAGTGACCCCTAAGTGCAAATGTAAATTGCAATTAAAATTTGTAGTTTCCCCTCTACTGATTTCTTTAATTGTTTTAAGCTATTTGGAGGAAACATTGAAGATTTTGGAGAGACATTCTGGGTATTTTCATGAAGATGTGAGGCTTCAAGCAATTATTGCTTTGAAACGTGAGTACCAACTAAATGCTTTATGAAACTCCCAACATCTATCATCCACATATTTGGCCATCATAGATGACAAATTTATTATTGTTGTCCTTGATAGACACAAAAATTTACTATCTTCATGAGTTGAATAGCACTTATCTCTTACATTCATGTATTCATCTTATCCAAATCTCACAGTTAACTTTCGTTGCTGATTGAAATTGCAGATATTTTGACAGCAGCACATGCAATCTTTCAGTGCCATAATGTAAGCTATATTGGCTCCTTTAGTTTCCCTTCCCTTTTTTTCATTGGCATCCATGTGCAGGTAAAAAGGGGTTCGTTCTGAGGGGTGGGCAAATTTTCTGGTTGCCAAGTTTTCCTCAAAATGATTTATGTATATGCAATAATTTTACATTCATGTGATCTGACCATTATATTGCATTTGATTTTTTTCTGGATATATTTATCTATCAGATGCAGTTCAAAATTTTTCATGGTAAACTTGACCTAGTTTGAGCAAAAATATTTATTTACTAATTGCACCCACTGGCCATTCACGGATGGTTTTAATGAAGTTTCTCTGATAGACTGATAAATTGTTTACCTAGCTAGTTATTTTGAGGAACCACACGTGCACATTCAGACACATGCCCATTTTCATACAATAGTGTGTGCCAAAACTGTGACATATGCTACAGAGTCGAAAAGTTGCTCATGCACACTAAATTGTACATATGCATGGACACACAGAGAGACTAGTGGTGGCCTTGTACTCTGCTGATATGAGTTCAATGTTTTCTACTGTGCAGGATGGGTCTACGAAGGCAAGAGAAGTGCTTGGTATTAACTTAAAACTTTTTATGTCTAAGCTTTCCCTAGATTGCAATTGGTAATAGAGCCTCTGACTAAGCTCGTTGATTTTGTAGATATGGTGATGAATATCTATATCAAGACTATGACTGAAGATGATGACAAGGAAGTTGTTGCAAATGCGTGTATGAGCATAGCTGATATAATCAAGGATTATGGTTATATGGCTCTAGAGCCTTGTAAGTAGTTGACTGCTCCTTGTGGGGAATCTTTGGTGCTAAAATCTTTCAGATGAAGATAATATCTATTGTCAATTCGTTTTATCTTGTTTTCAGATATGTCTCGGCTTGTGGATGCAACTTTGACGTTGCTTCGAGAGGAATCAGCTTGTCAGCAATTAGAGAATGGGAGTGATGTAGATGATGAGGATGATACTGAACATGATGAAATCCTTATGGATGCAGTTTCTGATCTTTTACCTGCATTTGCTAAGTCAATGGGTTGTCACTTTGCTCCTATATTTGCAAGACTATTTGAACCTCTGATGAAATTTGCAGTGAGTATTATTTTTTAGTATGAAGTTGTGATTTCTATAATTAGATTCTTATATTTGTTTGTTGGCAAATGCAGAAAGTTTCACGGCCTCCTCAAGATCGAACCATGGTGGTTGCTTGTCTTGCTGAAGTTGCTCAGGACATGGGTGATCCAATTGCAGGCTATGTTGATGTAATTTGATTTTAATGTTCAACTATTTAGGCTTTATTTGGTTCTCCCTTTTATTATGTGCATTTTGTTGCCTGAAAGGGTGCTATAGTGCATGCTTGAATTTTTGCAAGAAAAATGTTAACTAAAATATTAAAAGACAAACAAAATGCAATATCAATTTATAGGTATTGGTCTGTATAATAATCGGGAATTTTCTTATAAAATTGACTTATAAATTTTAGTTCATGAAACATATTTGATATATATATAATTTTGTTTTTACATATGCTGCAGTTTAATGAACTTTTTTTTCCATGTTCCAGAGATTGATGCCGTTGGTGCTTAAAGAGTTGGCATCATCATCAGCAACAAATAGAAGGAATGCTGCATTTTGTGCTGGAGAGCTGGCCAAAAATGGAGGGGAGTCAGCTTTGAAGTATCCTTTACCTGCACATGCCCTTTCTTCTCTCTTCTATTCCATTATTTCCGTGTTTTGAACTGTTATTTACATTATTGTCTATATATGCTACAATCAATAGAAAAACTTATTACCAGTTATGTCATTGTACATATTCTCTTCATTTTCCATGCCTTGTAGCTTTTTCCACTCATCAATAATAGATATTACAATGATATACTGCGTGGGCTTTACCCATTATTTGGGGAATCCGAGCCAGATGATGCTGTCAGGGATAATGCAGCTGGTGCTGTTGCAAGGATGATAATGGTGCATCCACAATCCATCCCTTTGAACCAGGTTAATCCTGTTTGTTTCCAAGTTCCTTTTTTTTACTTTCTTTTTGTTCAGCGTCTGTTTCCAACTTGTCTATTTCTACAACATCACCGTACCCTCTCCATTTCTAATGTCATGCTTTCTTCTTTATATCTTGGTTACATTTTCAGGTTCTTCCTGTTTTTCTGAGAGTTCTTCCACTAAAAGAAGATCATGAGGAGTCCATGGCTGTGTATAATTGTGTTTCCATGCTTGTTTTGTCATCTAACCCCCAGGTATTTGTCTTTACTTCATTACCATTGTGGTAAACTCACTAAAATTAATAATCATGTTAATTGGAAGTTTGTTAACACATGCATCCCTTAAGCATGCATTAGTGTTCATCCTAAGCCAGTATTGAAATTTCCGTGAGATTCATAGTTACACTACTTGTAACTCCATTTATAGAGAATGTGTGCTTTGGTGTCCCTGAAGAAACAAACCCATATTTTACCATGGCTCAATTTCAGAGAAGCATCGAAAGGAAATCTTTTGTTGATTTTGATTTGTACTTTTTATATGTGAAGCAGATACTCTCTCATGTACCGAGTTGGTAAATATTTTTGCTCAAGTTCTGGTGTCTCCATCTGAAACTTCTGAAGTTAAAACTCAAGTTGGAGGGGCATTTTCTCACCTACTTTCGCTTTACGGACAAGAGATGCAACCCTTACTAAGCAACCTTCCACCCGCACATGCTAATGCCCTTGCTGCATTTGTCCCGAACAGCTGATATCTGATTCCTTGAGCCTGAAATGTTTGTTTATCAAAGAAAATGGTAAATCCCTATTTTTTTGGCTGAGGTAAGATCCAAAACATGTTCATTCTTAAGTTTGACATGTAGGAAAAATATACTGTTCATGGAGCTGACCTCAATAGTATCATGTTTGTAAAGAATGAACTGTCTTGCTACTGATTCTTCAAAATAAAAATATCATATAAACAATTCACCTATATAGATATTCATGTATGTATAGTTATATTGTATCTATACAGAGATATTACATACTTTCACACTTCTTTTTTTCTGTATGGGTGAATTAAACAAGAATGTTTCTAGAGAATTTCAGGTTCCTGTGTGGGGTGAGATTTCTAAACATTTACACTTGTAATTGCAGGTATTTGTTCATGCCGGTTCGATTTCAGCACCGGTTTCATTTTCCGGGTTGAAGTTGCTGCTTTTTTTTTCTTCTTTGATGTGTGTTTTTGAACCATTTGCTTTTTCATGATATTGATTCTTTATTTATTCATAAGAAGAAATTTATACAGTAGGTTGTGCCCTTTGTATAGACATGAAAGGTTTTGGTAACATTGTGTAAAACTACATTGTTTTTGAAAGTCTTAAAATGAATTTGGTGGTTGAATCAATGATTTGTTAGCTGCTGATAAGATCACTCTTTTGGGTTTTGTATCTTTCGATGATAATTATTATTTTTCAAGTACATTCTAACCATAAGAAAACTCCCAAAAAAATTATTATCTTCACTGATGTATGACTCAAGGTGAGCAGAATGTAATTAATTAGGTTTATTCACTTTTGTTTTGTTCTGTTTTATTTGAGGTTCTTCTCATAAATATTTATATTATTTTATTTTGATTTAATCTGATCAGATTGATTCTAAAACAGTATTATGAATGATTTCGAAGTTAAAATGTTTATCGCATAAATTGGTGTTTAAATTTGATAAGGAATTTAAATTGACATTTTATTGTCTTAAATTGGTATTTTAATTTTAATTTTTTTATATTTGTGTTCATTTAGCATGTTTATTTTTTTTTTTAAATGTATGCTAATTCAAACAACTCGTGGTTTTAAGTTTATGCTGCTTTGACTTCAAACTATCATAAAATTAAAACTTATGTGTAAAGATAAGTTACTTGTTTAAAAGTTTTTAAAATTAAAATTTTTATTTTTAAATTAGTCTGTAAAGTTACAATATTCTATATTACTGATATTAAGGATGAGAGGAATGCCGATTTTGCTGGTCCGAAAAGTCTTGCAGAGCTGCAAGTTTGTAAGAATACACTGATAATAAGGATCGCCTCTCTTGGAAAGCATAATAGAGGATCGTCAACAAACCAAATGTGATATTTGGCTTGAAGGGCCAAAGCCTCTTAGTGAGAAGAGAAAGAGGCAATCTGACCCTGCAACTTCTGGAAGTGGTATGGCAGGCGGTACACAGAGAAGAGGCTAACCGGAAACAAAGCAAAGAAAGCTTGAATGGCAACTCCACTAACACAGTAGTTTCATTGACACCGGAGGAGGCCAACAGAAAGGAAGAATCCAAGTCCACATCTGCAGATATTGGGACCGTGGAAGTTGCCCCTGGTGAATCTTCTCAACTGAACATACGTGAGAATGAGACTGAGGACGGGATAATTGGGGATGTGACAATGGAAAATGACGAGCACGAGGCAGATGACGGTGGCGGATCCAGAAATTTAAGAATAAGGTTCTAAAATTTTAATTTTATTTTCTTAAAAATAATGGATATACAAAAATTGTAATTTTTCCTCCTTTTTTCCTTAACACAATAAATTAAATTTAACCACTTTTCCAAATAATGGGGATGCACTTGACCCCTATGGAGCTTAGTGCATCCGCCCCTGGGAGATGGGATTATTTTTACGTTAATGTTAATTGTATTAATATCAATTTTTCTAAAAAATTTGTCATGATCATTAAGATCACTCATGCATTAAGTTTTAACGTCAATATCAAAATATTGAATTTTGAGGTTTTTTATTTATAAAATTAACGTAAACTTTTAACATTTTATTCCTTACGGTCAGCATTTTTCACTACCGTTTGATTGCCCTTATTTGTTGTTTAATTTGTAACATAACAGTTACCAAAATGTTTCTTTTCTCTAATCTTTTTCTTTTTAGTTTATTTTTTTCTTAAAAATCGATAAAATTATATATTAATCCTTAAATTAATATATCACATAGTTTCATTAAACGGTTAATAATGATTAAAATTGAGTAATTATTTTGTAGCTTTTGAATTACAGAAGTGATCTTTTCACAACTTAAGAAAAATTAACAGAACTCTTAAAGCAAGGTCAAGAGTATAATTTTGGCATTGTGGACAAAACAAATTGAAGGTGGAAAGTTATTTCTATAATCAACTTTTATAATACTTAATTTAAATTAATCGATCAATAAATTAAATATTTAAATATTGATTATTAGAAAAAAACTAGCACTTCATTTAGTGACAAGTACGTAGTTTATTTACTTGTAAAAGTTTATTGATCAGATTGAGAAATTTATTGTTATAAATATGCTAAAAATTGAATTGCATGCATATAGTGTACCCATTTCTCAAAAGCATTGAAATAATTCATGACGACACAAATCTATCATAAGTTTAAATTAGACAAACAAAAAGGTGTCATATAGGCTGAAAATAAGAGAAATTCGATGCAAATACTGGGATTTATTTAAACCCTAAACCTACATCTAATGAATAATCACAAGTAATTGAACGAAACTCCCAGATTCCATGTATAAGTATTATAACCAAACAAAATTTATGTGAGTTAAATTCATACATTCTAAGCCAAGACATGCATTAAAAAAGCTAATAATTTACCAGATCCTGGGAAGGAGGTGGGATTTCTGTAAACTAAAACATTAGCTGCCGCAAAGAGCAACGGACAGATCTAAGTTTATACTACTACGTTGCGTGATCGTCGAAGAAGAACGGCCCGAGCCGTCTCTATAATTTGACCTAAAGTACGAAGAGAATGCCTCGCTGCTGCTGATTCCACTCATGGAAGATGGAACATTACGGTTTTGCAACGATAGTGACAACGATAAATCGCAGCAGCCGCCGCCGCGACCATCGTGTTCTACGTGTGCCGTTGTGTTATGTTCTACGTGCTGACCGTGTTGCTCATATGCATGTTTCTCATCTTCTACTTCTGCCTCGGCTACCTGAGACAAAATCTCAAATCCAACGCAAATTACTAATAAAAAAATTCAAAACAACGCAAAGGTAAACTATTAAGAAATTGAATAAACCGGTAGTCCCACCAGCTTTCTAATCAGTGAAGAGCATAGGCTCTAAAGAGGCAATGTGTGGTCCAATGCAATAAAGGTTGGGTCTGAATTTCCATACAAGGGGTCCCCTATTCATTTGGTTTTAGAATTACAGACTGGACCGCATAATATAACACCTCTATCAATGCTAATTTCTAACTACAAAGCATGCTAATAATACTCATATATATAATTCAGTGCTGTATATTACAGTTGTAGAAAGCACTCTTTATTTTTACCTTAACATGCCATACTCGGAAATGGGACAGAGGAATGTTGAAGTAAAGTATCAGTTTTAAATATTTTTAAATTTATGATATAATTTAAGTATATCTAATTTCGCACTTTTTAAAATCTTAATATAAATTCTTAAATTCATGTTTAATATAAATTTATGGCAAAATCAACGAGATAATATGTTGAAATTTTTTTTTCACGAGATAGTGCCCTCGCCAGGTTAATTGCTCAGATGGGGTGATCTCTACAGTCCCACGTCCCTGGGGGTAGGTCGCCATGCACGCCCAGCGACCTACCAGGTCGCCATGCACGCCCCAACACGCTGGGCATCCGAGGCCATCCGACCGAGGTCATCCGAAAGCATCCGAGGCCATCCGAGAGCATCCGAGGCCATCCGACCGAGGCCATCCGAACGAGCTATGCGAGGGCATCCGAGGGCAACCGAGCGAGGGTAGGTCGCCCGGAGTGCATGGCGACCTACCCTCGCTCGGTTGCTCGGATTCCCTCGCATAGCTCGCTCGGTTGCCCTCGGATGCCCTCGCATAGCTCGTTCGGATGGCCTCGGTCGGATGGCCTCGATGCCCAGCGTGTTGGGACGTGCATGGCGACCTACCTAGGTCGCTGGGCGTGCATGGCGACCTGGTAGGTCGCTGGGCGTGCATGGCGACCTATATGGGGAAATGTAGAGATCACCCCATCTGAGCAATTAATCTGGCGAGGGCACTATCTCGTGAAAAAAAAAATTTCAACGCATTATCTCGTTGATTTTGCCATAAATTTATACTTCCGTACATACTATACTGACCAGAGAGAGAGAGAGAGGGAGAGAAGTGTTATTTTCTAGAGTACCTTAAGGAAATCAGATTGTTCCATTGAATATGTGAGACTGTAAAGATCATGTGGCAGAGAGAAAGGTGTGGTTTGACACAAAGAATGAGGTTCGTTGACTGTTTGATCCCATGCGCTTTCTTTTATCCCCTGATGCACCACCTGCTTGCTTTCCCTATAATCATTGGTCTCGTATATTCCATGTCTGCGTGCCAGATTATGAATAATATCAGATGTCAAAAACGAAAAAAAAGAGTAAAATCTTAAAAGCAAAGTTCATTCAACACAATCTTTCCGTTTGTTTGATTGTTTCCTACATTTCAGTTTCGATTTATTTTCTGAAATTCAAAAGGCTATAAGCTGATCACCTTCCAGAAGGAAACGGATGACTGTGGATCAAACGAGAATCCGATTCTTCAATGGGTTTTAAAGACGAGTGAAAACCCAAGTGGTTTACTTGATCATCATGAGATTGTCTTCTTTGATTCTTATCTGTCATTTGAAAAAGAAAAAAAAACAGCAGGCAAACCAAACACGTACCAGAAAGTCAACAAAAGCTTGTTCTTGTTAGGTTATGGCGGTTTATGATAAGACCCATGCATGCATGTATTCATGTCGGGATTTAATTTGATTCAGACAAGTCAAAAAATAATTAAAATAGGTTGTTTCTGGTTTTATTCATAGAAATTCTGGGTTTAATGAAAAATACCTTGTCTGCAACAATCACTTCTCATGCCTCGATACATCTGGATAGAAAGGAAAAAGAAAACATATGAATTTTATGAACAATTTAGAAGAACTAAAAGATTCGAAAGCTATAAGGAAATCAACCTGAAGATGGCTCTTGACATGTGAAATGGAAAGTCCTTTCACATTCATCAACTGAAGAACAAGTTTTGGCGTAGCTTCTATCATGAACAAAAAGAAACGCCATTATTTTCATTAAGATTTTGATCAAGTTGAAGAAGAAGAAAAAGAGAGAGAAGAGGAAAAACTTACTGTGTTGACCGCCAAGCCTTTCAATGGCGTGAACAAAACAGTGATGAAGCTGAGGTGTCCATCTCAAACGAGGCTCCTTTGATTTTACGTATTGCCTCACTGCACCATTTTTCCTCCCAAAACGACCCATCATCACTCTCAAAACGACGCAATCCCAATCTTGCCTGGGTTTTCTGCTTCTTTCGTCTAGGTCTCAAAGCAACAACAATGGCGACAACGAAACAAAGTTCACGAGGAATAAGAAGAGATGAAGCTGCAACTTCACTGCAGATTTTTAAAGATTAAAAATTAAAACCCAAATTTGATTTTTCCCTTCTTTCTAAAATTAAGAAGAAAATGAAAATTCCATCACGAGATTTCTGATCTGTCTTCCCTTAAATCATTACCCCCTCCCTTCTATCCAACTGCCTTACTTTGACCTTTGCTTTCTATATGCAGAATTATCAGCTATATTTTCTCGTACAAATATATAGATTATTTTTTCTCTATAAAATAATATGTTTTCATATATACTGCCAACGTCATCATGATCACAAAAACCAACATAAAAAATTATTTTATATTATTTTTATATTTTTTCTCTGGACATATTTTTTATTTTTCCCAGAAAGGGACACGACTTGAGGCACAAAATATTTTTATTATTATACCCTCGATTCTCTTATCCTATTTTTTTTGGTAAATTATATAATTTAATTTTAAAATTTTAATCTTTCTATCTTAGATATTTAATTATAAAAACTGTATATAATCATGTATATTTTATAAAATTATATTATTACATTCGATTATTAATTTTTGTATAATTTACTAGACATATTACGTTGCCATATGATATGACATATCACATCGACAAATCCTCGTCTGAAGGACTTTGTGATCATGTGGACATTGACATAAATTTAGTGTTTTTAAATTGTAACTTTTTTATTTAGTCAATATTTAATTTTATTGGTAATATTATTGATATTATATTAAGAAATTGTGAAATTTGAGTGTTCTTAGATATAAATCAATAGTGTTGGAGGTAATGTTAAAAAAAATCGTTATTAATAATTAGTTGATTTATTGAAATAAAACATTAAATTTAATAAATTATAAAATAATATATGATAAAAAATTTCTTAACTTATGAGAGTATGTATATATATAAGTGTTTGGATCAAATCTTCTAAGGAGAATAACGATTCTTTTTTATAACCGGAGCACTCAATATACTTAAAATATACATGATACTTATATATAAAATTTATTTTTATATGAATATAAGATTTAATTTTGTTAATTATGAGAATATTTTTTTTTTACATATTTCAATGCCAAAATGTATAATAATATTCATTTTTAAGTTATATGTAAAAGTGAATATAAATTAGAGTTTGTCAAGCTCAACATGTGAGTAAACTTAGATATTTTAAAATTAACAAATTTGTTAAAGAATATTAATTCATATATAGGCTGTATAAAAAAATATATAATTTTATCTATTTTAATCATAAACTTTAAATTTTGAACCTAAATTTTGGAATATACTCTTAACCTAAATTTCGTAATCCTACAATAATTAGACTTGTAAAAAATTAAAATTTATAAGGGGAAGCCTTGACCTTATTAGTCTCTTTGGATAGAGATACTCCAAATAACCTTGTCATAGAGTGTGATTGTAGTCATGCGGTAGAATGGATTCGGCAGCCTTCTTCAATCCCTGTTGCGTTCAAAAGTATCGTCTAGGACTGCTTGCGTATTGCTCCAAATGTGTGTTGGCAGATTGAGCTGGTGAATAGGGAACCAAACTGTGCTGCGGGTGGTTTAGCAAAGGCTGGGATTGATTGATTGTAAATCCTGAAGGGTATGATGATGTAGGGGGCATCTCCTACTTTAGTGCATTGAGCCTTGGGTAAAGTTCTGTGACTTTGTTTCTCAAGACATGTACATCTCTGGTGGGAGTGGATGCATGTTGGAAGATGATGTAGTGGGATTTTCATGGATTTTGTGATATCAAATTGTTAGTCATATAGTAATGCCGGGATTGTTGTTTGATATTGTTAATGGTCGTAGTTGTAATGACATTGATATGGTGCCCTCTTTTTCTTCCATTTAGGTTTAGAGACCGACTAATCCAGATCGGGTACTGCAGAGACGATGACGATTCTCCTAACCCAATTTGCTCCACTCGCAAACGCAAATGAATTAAGCTAAACCTTTTATCAAGTCATTATTGTAAAAATGGGTCATCCACAAAGCAAAAAGTCAACAACCCCTCCATTATTTAACCCATCTCAAGGTTTACCTAAAATCATTTTTAATAATCCTTGAAAATGACAAATAGAATTATTCCATTTTTTTCATATTAGTGTTACCCTTATTCATTCCCAATGTGTTCTATTTTTCCTTCCATTCAGTTAGTCAAATAAGGAAGTTAAGAAGGGCAAGTTAACCAGCTTGACCAAATCTCTAATTTCTTATGTGACAAATTCTCACAAGCATAATAAGTTTAGTACACCATATTGAGTAGATAGATAAATAACTCCAAGAAAATCATAGTTGAAATCCATTATAATAATACTTTTTGTAAAAAGACTTTTAATTTGATATTTTCTTTATTTTGAAATGTTCATAAAAAATTTAACAAAAGTATTCTGTCGGTGTTAATCAATAGTTGGGTTTGAATTCTAAAATTGAGAAATAAAGAGACTAAATTTCTGAAAATAAAAACAGGATTAAATTCCAAAATATATAAAGAGTACAAGGACTTGCAGCATATTTTAACCTGCTTAAAATTAGTAGATGTATTGTTTATAATTATAGTATTGTATTAAATAACTCTAAATTATTTAAGATTAAACGCTCATGCTCCTTATATTTCTGGTATTCGAACTCGATACCTCAAGAAATAGAAGAATTTTTTTATTAGTTTAGTAAATGAACAATAATTGGAGAGAAAGGGTTCCCACCATATCTTTGACTTTTTCTAACTCAAAAAAGGGCTTTACTTGAATTAAGGTTGATACAAGTTTTGAATAATTGTGTTACTTTTGTCGATTGCCTTTTCGATAATCATGCCGGAAAAGGCTTGAACAATTGTGTTGTTGCTTTTTTATTAGTTCTAGTAGTAAGATATATTCTATGTTAAAGAGAATATATTTAAAAAAAATGATAATGTAATACATTATTAATGAAAAGTAAAAACCAAAAAGATGATGACCACTCAATAATAATAATAGTAATAATAATAAGGGTAAAGTGCATAAATGGTCCCGACTATAGAGTATTATTTTATTAAGTCTATCGACTATTAAAAGTTATAAAAAGATCCTTTGACTATTGAGTGTTGCTTTGTCGGCTATTAAAAGTTACAAGATGATCACTCGACTATTTATTATGTTCCAATCTCGTCCTTTTTCGTTAAAAGTTGACGGTATTCTAAGCTGAATGTTTATAGAATCTCAAACGACTATCATATCTCAGTTTTGATATTTATCGATTTAATTTTATATAATCAAACAATACCCTAGAGTTGGAGGATTATTTGTGTACTTTACCCTAATAATAATTTCACACATAGGAAAAAGAAAAAAATTGATCACTTTTGATATTTATGGGTTTGATTTTATAAGATTCGAATTAATCGATTAATAGATTGGATATCGATGATTATCTAATAAAAACTTTACAAGAAGAAGAAGGGGTCGAAGGTTGTCACCCAAGAAAGACTTACCTAGAGAAAAATGGTGGATGCTGTGGACCATACAAATTTAACCTAGCCCCCTTTTTAACCTAGTTTTTCAACATGGAAAATGTCGTTCAATTTAACATTGGAAAAGGGCGTTGATTTAAAAAAAATCATAAAGTTGACCTACAAATAATTTAACTCATAAATAAATTTATTAGAAATTTTATAAAATTACTGAGAAGTTAAATGATATGTGTCCGTCAATAATCTATCATCATATATTTTTAAATAATATTTAAATAAATAAATAAGATTGATGGTGGATTAAAATGGATTATGAAGAAAGGTATGCAATATGATTTGCATGCATGACTTGTAATGTGGTAATATGGTTAAAAGGTAATATATATCTATATAATGAACATGGATAGTATTTAAAAAAGAAAAAACATGAATGAAGGTGAACAAAACTCGATTCGAAAAATCAATTTTTTACTCGAATTTATTTTGAGTTGTAATTTCATAAATTCGACTCGACTTGAAAAAAGTTTAAGTTCAAGACGAGTTATAAAATGCAACTCGAATAACTTGAAATTTTTAATAATTAGTGGATTAATTTTCATGTTTGAGACGAGTCTCTCGTCTTTGTATGATATATGTATATCACATATGAAAAAAATATGAAAAAATATATTTATATTGTATGTGGTCATAAAAAGTCATTTAAATTAAAATCAAATAATATTATAATATTATAAATATTTACAACTAAATTTAAATAGAAACATGAAAACTAAACTCGATTAAAAAAAATTTCAAAATCAAGTTTGAGTTATAAAATGAGATTCTTCCTCTCGAAATTTTTTGACTCGAACACCCCTAAACATGGATTTAACAACTGGGATTGGGAAAGGCCAAATCAACCGGTTGAAAGGGAACTGATTAATTCCACAATTAAAACAAAGGGAGGATTGTTTGGTGTTTGTTGATAGAAGCAATTGACTTATTTCCCCTAACCTCCATTCATTCACGAAACCATCTATGGATAAAAAAGTGATAAAATTATATTTTGAGATATAAAATCTTACGTTATGAAAATAAATTTATAATATTTTAGAGATATAAAAAAGCATATTTATAATATTTATAATTTATATATTTTGTGACATATCACCTATTTATATTAAGAAATATCAGTTTACGTTTTATTTAATTTAAAAATATTAAATTTTGTTGCACTATTGTTTATATATGTTAAATTTTGATTAATGCCGAAAATTTTAATTAGTATGTACGTTTTAATATATTTTCACGTATGTTATTTTTGGTTTGATAATTTAATAAATAGGTTGAGTGGACCTTTAAAATTTAAAACCCATTCTGTTGACGTTTCTTATCTTTGGGTTGTGTTGTTCTTCCAGGGCCAGGCTCAGTGGTCAACTTTGATGAGGGAAAGTAAAATAGAAAAAAGAGAACAAAAATAATATATTTATATTAATTATTAAAGTTTTAAGGAAAGCTATAAGTTTAAATGTTGACGTTGTAAATAAAATACATCGGATTAAAAGGATCAATGTAATAATAAATATTACTCGATCCAGATTAATCGATCAATAAGTCAAATATAAGTAATTATATTAAAAAGTTAAATTTGATAGCATAAGTTATTGAATACAAATTAAATAAAGAAATTACTAAAATTCTCTTACTTAAATGATAATTAGTAGAAAATTATTCGGTTTATAAACCGTATAAATTTTAATTTACATACGCATGTCTATTTTAATATCACCTGTTTTGTTTAGAGTTTTATATTTTAAAATTTAACGTTAACGTTTTAGGATTAGAATTTTAGTGTTAAGGGTTAAACCTATGTAAAATAGCTTTTATATATGTGTATTAGACAATAGTTTATAATTAATTTTATTATTTTTATATAATCTTTAAATTAAAAATAAGTTATGGAAAGATCAAGTATGAGATTAATGATTTTATATAAAAATTCTTCGTCACTTCACTTATTATAATTTAATAAATATTTTTCATTAATATTAATATATATAATATTTTATTTCACTCACATGGTGAATATGATAAGATTTAATATATATAAAATTTTAATTTATTTGATATCTTACTACAAAATTTAGTTTTGAAAAACACTGAAACTATATCTGGAGATGAAAGCCAAGGGTGGAGAGATCCTCTGTGACACAGTTCAATTTGTTAACAACCAGGGATGAATCGGACTCAAACACCACCTTTTTCCATTGATTCTCACAAGCAAACTTTAAACCAGCAACAAAAGCATGTATTTTCCCCAATCCGACTTCCACACAGGAAAGAGAGGAAATAGTCATACCACGCAACGGCAGTCCCGTCGAGTCGCGAGCAATAACACCCACAGTGGCTAACCTCTGTTGGGAACTAAAGGCGCCATCAACGTTGACCTTGACAAAACTATGAACGAGAGGTATCCAACGGCCATTATCGGCCTGCATAGAAGACCCCGAGTGATAAGGAGGATGCGTCCTGTTACCAGCAGAAAAAGCCCTGGCCGATGAGTGATGACGTGGTTTGGTTTGAGCACAGTTGTTCCGGGCCGAAAGATTCTCCTGTTGTAGCAACTTAGCGTTGGTCGCGATAAGCCATAGAGGTTGCAATTTGTCGTCATAAGTCTTGGTATTGCGACCGTTCCACACAATCCAGAGAAGAACTATGAACCCTACAAAATCGCCCACACCAAGTGTAGATAAAATCGCTTCTAACTAGAGTTAATTAGAAATGATCTGGTTAGATAGAAAGTTACCACAATAAACTGCTAAGGCAAATGTTGCCTGGACATACAAACAATCTCTCAACGCATGCAGTATAGTTTCCTCCTCCAAACAACACATGGGACATAAACCATCTCTTATACTTGCCTCCCAAAGTTGGCGTCCTACAGGGAGGCCTCCGTGCGCCGCACGCCAAGTGAAAACTCGTATCTTTGGTAGAACCTGCAGCTTCGCAATCGTTCTCCACACTCTAAACGTTGTCTCTGTAGAATGGGTCGGACGTTGGAGCCACCAATATCCTGACCTAACGAAGTAGACTCTTGAATTGTGGTTACCCCAACTGGGAAGATTAACATGCATAAATATCGTAGCTCAGAACCGGTCCATGGGGATAGAGGAATAATCACCATTGATGGAAACCCTTGAAAACCCTCCCCATTTGTCCTAAACTAAATTTAACTTACTATTCATTCATGTACGCCAATAGAATGCACCGAAAAATGTTTGAATTGCTTTGTGGATGTCTTTCCAAGCGTACGAGCTCGTCCCCCAACCTTAGCGGTAAGGATATCTACATGGGGAAAGTATTTCATCCTCAGAACACGAGAAAGTATGCAATTAGGATGCGTAATGAGCCGCCAAATATGTTTACCCAGCATAGCCAAGTTAAACGTATGTAGGTCACCATCACAAAAAATAAGATTTTTAGTGACAATTTAATTGTGACATTAAATTATTTCGTCACAGAAAATATGATATTTGTGTCAAAAAAAATATTTTTGTCTCTTTTAAAATGAGTAATTGCGACTTATTTTTTTAGTCACTTTTTAAGTAATAATTGAGACAATTTTAAAGTACATCACAAGTAACTGATCACTAATAGTATTATATTGTGACAAAAAACAAGTTGTCATTATTAATTAGTCACTAATAATAGGGTCGAATTGGCACCAACTTATTTTTCGAGAGGAAAATTGTAATAGTGACAATATATTAAGTAGTCACTATTATCATTTATAATTGTGATGAAAACATTTTGTCACTAATCATTGTTGGTGATTTGTGATGACAATTATTTTTGTTACAATTTAAGTGAATAATTGTGTCATATTTCTATTTGGTCACTATAAACTTTGAAAGTATAATTTAATCTTCAATTATGATTAATTTTAAAAAAAAATATTATTTTTTATATTTAACATATGATCTTTATTGAGATATATGTGAATTTTGCTAACATCAATTAATTATTAGTACTTTTTTTAAATTTAAGAATTCCACCACAAGGGGTTAATACATTGTTAAATATTATTATTTTATTTTATTAAATACAATTTAAGGACACTTGATATTATTTTAGGTTTAAATCTTAATATTTATATGTTTATATTTTAAAACCAACCTAATTATTGTTTATATTTTTCTTCCGCAAACATATTTTATATGAGAAATTATAAAAAAATTAATTAAATTATTAAAATGATAATGAATATTATAATTAACATAAAATAAATAAAATTAATCCTAAAAATAGTTTGACCTAAATATTATTTTTTGTCAAAAACAAATATTTCTTTCTTAGCACAATGAGTAAGCGTTGCACTTTTAACATGAAGGTTCCAGGTTCGATGTTCTTGAAAGCCATGTATTATATTAATTTATTAAAGAATAACACGTGGAATCATCAACCAGTTGGTCTAGTATGATGACACACTAGATCCTTTAATCAAATCAGATTAGGGTGATATGACAATGATTATAATGTAAGTTCCTATAAAAGACGATTACAAATAAAAATTGGAATATATCTACTATAATTAATTTAAAAATAAATATTTTATTTTAATTAATCAATTTAATTATGTAATTGTGATAAAATATTTGTCACTAATGAGAATAATATTACTTTCTAAATTGTTTAACTGTTATTAATCTTTTTGTGTCAAAAAAATGTAGTCACAAAAAACATAAGTAATTGTGATAAAATTAAATAAATCGTCACTAATATAATAGTAACAGAGTTATTAGTGACGACAATTGACAATTCAAAATTTTTGTCACTATGATATTCAATGACTAAATTTGATACTTTTTGTGATCATTCTTAATGTCTCTGAAAATATAATTTCTTGTAGTGTACGTAATGCTAAACCCTTTGTCTCTTTAGTTTGCAGATAGTTGGTCATGTTGGATCTCTCCTTAATTGGAGAGGTTATATAAAATTCTAGAGCTTTCTGGAGAAGTGTAGAATTTTCTAGAACATTCCGGAGAACTCTAGATAAGTGTAGAACTCTCTAGAAGCTTGTGGAAGAATGTAGAATCCTCTGGAATATTCTAGAGATGTGTGGAACCTTATGGAAGAGTATGAAAGAATATGGAAGGGAGTGGAAGAGTGTAGAACTTCTTCGAGTGTGTGGAGCATTCTAGATAATTAATCTCCACCCTTGGATGTAAGTAATCTCCACCATTCATTGTGGAAGTGGAGTATTATAAATAGGGGTGAGAAACTTTATTCCTAACCATAAAAAAAATCCAAGAACACTAAGAGAATCCACTTCTTAAAGTGAGAAACTAGAGAGTTAGAGAGCCTCTTTGAGAGAGAAGAGAGATAGCTTGAAAAGTCTTTATCCTCAAGCTTGAGTGAGCCACCAAGTGTGAGTAAAATCTTGTGAACACATCCTTGTAATCATACTATTCTTTTGTATAGTGGAAGAATCTCCAAATTGGAGAATTATACTCTTGTGCTCTCTTTACTATCCTTAATCTCTAACTGCTTCTCTTAACTTCACGAAGCAGGAAAGACCGTGATTCCCAACATGTCATGCAATATCATTGATGATGCTGTGTGAGTTGAGGATGAGACAACGACATATTATGACATGATTAAAAATGAAAAAGGACATAGATTTACAACTTACACACATTATGATAAGATGTTTGATCCTTATGGTACAAATTTGGGCTATCCACGACGTTCTCAAACATGCATGGAGGGTAGGAATAAGGAAACTAAGATTAGAGTTCGATTGCATGGATTAAGCAAAGTGATTAAGGACGATGTTTGGATACTAGAAGGGAACTCGATAGCTAAAGCTATTCGTAAGTTATTGAAGCATGATTGAGAAATTAAGATCCGACATGTGAGAAGGAACCAAAAAAAGTAGCCGATAGTTTAACAAGAGCTGAATGGTGGATCAGTCGGGATCAAATTTGAGTCTCCCTCAAACTATGTTTTGGAATAACTCCAAAAGATGACTTCAACTTAGCATGAGTTGATTTGATAGTTTCTATCATAAAAAAATCAAGGTAAACTACATATTTAATACTTAAACTATTATTTTTATCTCATTTTGGTATCTAAACTTCATTTCTTTTTTCAAGATCAATTTAAGTTTTATTTTAATATACTACCGTTAAAAACTTAACGGTGATATTGACATGTCACCATAATATAATGTCACATCATCATTAAAAAATAAAAATTCTGTGTAAGCAGTTCCGTTAATTTTTAATGATGAGATATCAACTTGAAACCTAAACTAAACACTAAATTTGGTTTTAAAATAATAAAATTTAGGTAACAAAAAATAATAAAATTAATAGGTTTAGTACTAAACGTGTAATTTATCTGAAACAATTCTCGGTTATATTTGAATCATCTTCATTATACCATTAACAAAAATAATGATGTAATAATTTAAATCATAATCATAAATGATTTAATAAATTTATTTTTTATATTTATAAATTATATCTATATCATTATGACATTCATTTTAAAAACTCAAAAATATAAAAAAATAAAAAATAAAAATAATTATATGGATGAATTCCCTTGTACCTTCAAAAACATTTTACATCGCTAGTTGAAAAAACCTTAAAAAGTATGCCGAAAATTTCGTTGACATCCAAAACAAAAATAGAAATAAGTTATTAAATCAGTATTTTTTATTATTTTTTAAGGAAATGTTATTAACTTAACTTATGAGATAAATGGAATTTTAGAAAACAATAAAAAGTTTTTATTTATATATTTTAAATTCCACCACTGGTTCAGTTGTTTTCGACACTCAAAAACATTTCAGATTTCCTCTCCCTTTCCCCTAGTCCATTTTATCACCGGAAAATGAGGAGGGCCGGCGATTTTTCGACGTTCGTATTCGTCGGAGTTTTGATCCTCAATTGCCTTTCCTATGTTACATCCGACGCTTCCGATCACCGTTACAAAGACGGTGAACCTGTCCCACTTTACGCCAATAAGGTTGGCCCCTTCCACAATCCAAGGTAATCCTATCGTTTCGTGTTTCTATTGGTAAATCGGAGTTTACTTCTGAGTGTCGTTCATCCTTCGCATCCCGAATCACAATGCTTTTATTTTCGTTTCATGATACCGTTTTTTGGAGTATTTAAATTAACTTCAACTGAATTCTGATCTCATTGCGTTTGACACGTTGTTTTGTTTTTTCATTTAAATTAGCTTTTTTTAATTTGCTTTGTTTGTTTCCAGTGAAACCTATCGCTACTTTGATCTGCCATTCTGTTCTCCAGGTGCTTTTTTTCTCTTTTAATTTTTTTGTTAATTTGTTACCTTAACCAATTTAATTTGGATTTCAATAAAATGTTATAATTTTCCAATGGAATTTAGATCTTGTAACGGAGAAAAAAGAAGCTTTAGGTGAGGTTTTGAATGGAGATCGACTTGTTAGTGCTCCTTATAAATTGAATTTTAAAGAGGAAAAAGATTCTTCTGTTGTTTGTAAGAAGAATCTCTCTAAAGATGAGGTTGCCTATTTTCGAAAGGCAGTTGACAAGGACTATTATTTCCAAATGTACTATGATGATTTGCCAATCTGGGGTTTTATTGGAAAAGTTGATAAGGAAGGCAAAACTGATCCAAGCGAGTACAAGTATTTCCTTTTCAAGCATATCCAGTTCGACGTCCTTTATAACAAAGACCGTGTTATTGAGGTCAACGCAAGGATGGATCCTCATTCGCTTGTGGACTTGACCGAGGATAAGGAAGTTGATGCTGAGTTTATGTATTCTGTGAAATGGAAGGAAACTGATACTCCTTTCGAGAAGAGGATGGACAAGTATTCTATGTCTTCTTCTTTGCCACATCATTTGGAGATTCATTGGTTTTCGATTATAAACTCTTGTGTTACTGTTCTCCTTTTGACTGGTTTCCTTGCAACGATTCTCATGCGGGTCTTGAAGAATGATTTCATCAAGTGAGATCTATTAAATCTATTTGTACATTTTCTCATATTTTTGTTATTTCTCCTTTGTCATTGGTTGCTTTAAATGTTCGATTTGTTATGAAAGGTATGGGCAAGATGAAGAAGCAGCTGATGACCAAG